ATAGATAGTCAAATTGTGTGCGTTGCTAATGTCGTCTTCCGACAACGTTGGCTTCCGAGTGTCCCTGTCCCCAAGTGTCCTCACTAACAGACAGGTGAAGCCATTAGACGTCCTGAAGCGTCCGGCAAGTGCGTTCTACCGCGGTGTCGGAACCCATGCAAAATCCCCATCAGCATGTCCCATTTGGTTACAGCACAGTATCGGGGATGCGTCAAAGCATACATCGAAAAACGGCCCTCCGGAGACGAAGTAACTGCTCATTGTCCGCTCAGAAAAAAGGAAATAAATTGAGGGGAGCAGCCCGCGCGGGGAGCGGTGAAAAATTAGCGGACGAGGAGGGGCGGCGGACGGAGTGTGCCGAGACCGGCTCCGTGGCGATCCGGCCAGCCGAGGTGCCGGAGCGTACATACATCACGGGCCGCCGGTCAATTATCACCGGTCTGCGGAGGAGACCGTCCGGCGTCGCCGTGCTGGGACGCTGGGACGAGTCGGCGGCGGCCGGCCCCTAATCAAAGACCCTCTGCGCCGGCGGATAGAGTCGCGCTCGTTAGTTGTCATTCCATTTACTCTTGGCTCCTACGAATGGCAACGCCAGTGTGTGAGTGCAGTAATTCTGGTATGCGAGAAGTTTACGGGAAATCGCAAACAAATGGTTAATATCCAATCTGCTACCATTTTCTGGCTAAAATGTAATTTTGTGCCCGAGCAATCAGCGAGAAATGTCGTTATGGCGCACCACTGAAAATCAGGAAATACCTTGCCTTTGCTTGGCTGGAATGAAGAGTGGCTAATGGCCCATCTAAATAATATAAGAGCATGATTAGATGTTTCACGTTAGCCTGTTGCGGCACGAAAATTAATGGTCCAGTTTTCGCATATTCTCTAGAGATAGGCGCGCTAGGTTGAAGTCATTCATGAATTACTGAAGGGAAATTCATGTCATTCCGGCATGTTGCTGTACATACGTGGTGAATCAAGTCAATAAATACTGCAAGGGCCACATTCCATGGGTATTTATAGTTACCTAAGTCATGGCATGTTCAAGCCTCACAAACCCTTGCTGAAGACCGCTGTATTAGTAAGATGTAGATATTGCAGCCTATGTTGACTGCAGTCCAGGGTGATAAGATTGAAATAAAGAACAGTAGATGCTGATATAAGATATTCAATAGTTTAAGCAATTGCCATCCGTCTCCCTCCGCCTGTCTCTCCGGCCGGGCAGTTCGAGCCTCTGACGTCACGCACCTGTACTGGTATGCTGTGCCGCCGAGCACCAGCGCTGCGGGAGACTGCAACACACTGCATAAAGGGAACGGAATCTCTTCCATGGGAGTGACCGGGTCAAGCACCGATGCCCATCTTTGGAAATATAAATGCATTAGCGATATCAACCCATCTGGGTCATATTAAGCCTGTTACCCTATTTTGGTATACACAAAATGTGGCAACACCAATATGATCCGTTCATATTTTTGTAAGAGATAGTCTCTTCTCTAGCACGAACCAAATATTCTACACGCAGTCCTAGTTAACGGCAACTGGAGCTCGCTCGATGGCAGCTAATCCCATTTCCTATCGACACGATTTTACACAGGATCAAGCCACGTCAGGCTGTTTTGTTTTCTTCGCTGTCGGTTATCTATATCTCATCCTATACCTCAGCGCAGAGCGGCGTGAGACGCGAGTCCCGTCAGCCACCCTCCAGCTGCCTTTTGGGCCTCCCCTCCGGCCGCTCCTCTCCCCTGTCCATCAATCGCGGCGGTGGCTTGTTGCGGTTTATCTGTTTTCATCCTCGGACGGTTTCAATCACATCTCCATCCCTATCTGTCCACCTGATGATCGGAGGCGCGGCGCCAGTGCCGATTTGACTGCGCACACACGCCACCGCTTCTCCCCTTTGACGGCTCGTGGCCGGCCTTTTCAGTCCGGCGCTCCCCCGTCGAAAGGGCGCCACGCGCATCTCAAATCGCCACTCGATCAAAAGAAAACACTCTGGCGTCAGGCCGAATACAGCGCGGACAAGGGTGTTTTGTCAAGAATTTGAATTTTTCAGCGATTAGATTAGCTCTAAAATTGCCGAGATTTATCCGTTGCGGAAGGGGTTGTCAGCCGTTCAGATTGGGTTAGTGAAATAGCAAAACGACCGGATACGCCACGATGAGCGGGGAGCGCGGCAGCTAAATTATGCTGGCGTGTTGGTAAGAGGTGTGGGGGATCTCCACTGTGACAGTGCGTCTCGAGCCACAGCGCCTTCGTCTCCGATTAATCTGCTTTGGGCGATCAAGAATAACTACATCTCCATTATCACGAAATCAGTCAGAGCGCGGCCGTAATTTTGTGCGGATTTTCTGCCGGATCGAGTCGGCAAGCTGGGCGGCCATAAACTGCGAGCCCAGCGCTGCCTGGCCAGGCGTGAACTGGCTCGGCGCCACTGACCGACGGTCGTCGCCGCCGCCGGCTGCCGCCGCTCAGCTCAGATTATACTTTCATGATGGGTCACATCATCAACGTAAGCTCATCCCATCCGTGCGGCCGCGGCGGCCATCCATGTTGTTTCAATCTCAATCATTTTTCAATCAAATAGCCGCAGGCGCACCGCATTGGCTCATTGGATAACCATAAAAGTGTCGGTCGTATGAGGCATGGCCGGCGCCGGCTTATCTGTTAGCCTCAGCCGTGGCTATTTCGCTGCTGTCGGCCACTATCAACTGACCGCCGTCCGTGCGCGCCGCGGAAAATAATTTGAAATGTAAAGCATGGCGGTCGACGCTGCCAGATACGCCGCCGGACGCCGCCCTCAATAGGCTGACGATCAATGGCGTTTTTGCAGCGGCGGGAGCTTGCAAGCTCTTTGTTTGCGTGCTGCCGCCGCTGGGCTCTTTGTATATTCGTGCGGCGGCGACTGCTGCATTTGGGTCGCCGCGTCGATGGCCGCGCTGGCTTGGACGCGCTCGGGCGGTCGCATCTTTTTGTCTCAGACGCCGCCACTCTGGAGATTTCATTACGGCTTCCATCAGCGCTAAATGAGGGAGCACTTTGACTCGGTGTGAAATTGAATGGACAGGTAAATTAGATTGCAGATGGCTGTTGATTGAGTAAAATCAAAGTCGGATGGACAATGGCCGGCCGATGGGTTCGCGGCTGCGTCTCATCTCGCGCTCAATCCGTCAGCGGCCTCCCTGTCCGCCCTCTGTCCGCCGGCCGAGCGCAGCTCGATCGCCTCCAGCCACCACCGCGGCGGCGACGGCGACGGCGCTCCCCGGCCGCCCATCTGAAATTCCGTCCGGTGCCGACGCTGCACGCGCGGCCGGCCCTGTCCACGCGTGGTCGCCGTTTACATATCGCCGCCGGTAACAATCTGGCCTCTGATTGCGCCCTGTTGACTCTATCAGCCCGCACGATTCATATGCTGAATACGGAATCAATGTAAATGCCCCGCCGCCGTCCCCGTCCTCGCCGTCGCTGTGGTAGAACACCGAACGGCGAGGATACGGGGAAACCGTCGCTGCAAAACCGTCTTGTGATGTCACTGTCGTCACTGATGCGGTGACGAGTGCCGTCTGATCCGACCAGAACGAATGCGTGATATTTTTTTGTGGTGATCTGCTTGTATATTTGAGTTCACTGGGAGGGGCACTAGACCGCAAACGAGTCGATTCATAGACGGCGTCCTGCGTTTGGCCATCTACATGCGTGTCGGTCATCCGTATAAACAGTACTTCAGAAATAAAACCTTTTCCACACAACTACAGCCCTCTCATGCTATGTGAAATCGTTACTAACATGTTATATAGTCAAGCGATCCACGCGACAATTACTACAAGTGCTTAATGACAAGCAGCTTCAAACGCTTGAATATTTGACATTGTGCTCTATTCTAGGCAAAGTACATAGCGAAGTCACTGTATTAACAACGTCGTCCGACGGCCAGACAGCGCTGTCTCGTCGTCAGTCAAATGCTGCGGCGTGGCGCGTCGATTCCGACACCCGCGCCGCCGCGTCTGTCTGGACAGGGTCGTTAGAGCGTCCCGCAGACGAGGGTGCCGACTGCCCCTCAGACATCGCCTCCGCCACCGCCGCCGGCCCCTGTCCGGTCCCCGCCGCCAGTTTATGCATATATTGAGCGGCACAACAGAGCCAGCCATGCGAGCAGACGCAGAGATTGTTGAATAAACTTGGGCCTGGCCGGCAGATAAAATGTCCACAGTCAAAGATTCAATTACGGCGGCAAATTGAGTGCGGCCGGGCCGGCGCTGTGACGGCTGGGGAGAGGGTGGGGAGCGGGAGACGTCGGACGTCTGCTCGGCCATCCCCGCAGTCATCCAGCTGGATACTCCGTGGACACTCCCTGGACTCTTCCTGGGACAGGCCCGGGGTATTTCCTGGACCCTCTCTGAGCGTTTCTATACATTTCCTGAACAGTGAACAGCCCCTGAATCAATGTTAGTTCATCCTCTCTGCATCATCTGGCTTGTATCTTTTTATGCACCACTCCGTTATTACAACAGAGATTTTCTGGGACGGAAGCCAGCTACGGATATATTCAGCTAATACCATCCAAGTATTGGGTGACTTGTGGAAACTAGGTGCGATGTTCCTTTTAAATTTCTTGAAAGCATCAGCGATAGTTAGATTAAAGTTTGGCGTTGTTACTTTGAGCTTGACTGAGTCTTTAGTGCACCAGTTTAGGGTCGCTCAAGTGTTACCCTTCTCGAAAAGTTTCGTGGAAATTCCTCTGTCGATAATGATGCTTATATACAAGGGTATTGCCCTTACTAGCTGATACATGTGCAAGCATATCACCACTCATACGGACATTATTTCCCGTATTTATGAATCGCTCTTCCACGGCATTAAAACCTTATCGCACTCTGACCAGCCCTGAGACCGACCGAGTGACTAACCATGTGACCAGCCACTAGCCAGTTATGACCAACCCTGCAACCTGTCCTGTGCCCGACCCTGTGACCCCTAACTGACTCCCTCCCCTCTATCGGCAGACTCCGGGATCAACGGTGACCTGGACGACGGACGGAGCGACTCCTCGGAGGGCGCGGTGGGTGGCGGCGGCGGCGGCGCCGACCCGGCCGGCGACCTCTCCAGAGAGGACTCGCTGGACTCGGAGAGGGACGGGGTGCTGAACCTGGCACCGCAGCGCGACTCTGGCTCACCACCGGCCGCGCGCCTGGCGCCGCCGCCCCCGCCGCCGCCCCCGCCCTCAGCGGCCGGCGTGCAGGCCGCTCTGGCCGCCATCCAGGCTGGTCACATGACGCTGACACAGGTAGGTCATGGAGCAAAGAGAGATTTTCCTTTCTGGTCTCGCCTTCCACCCTCTTTTGTCACCCTGGAGAGGGGGATATTTGTTTTGCAGGTCACCAAACAGACCGATTATGGGCCTGCGTTACGCACGGGTGCCGCTAACGCGTGGTTAGCTACCAAACCGTGGTATTCCCAGACCAAGGTCACCAGAGGTCGGCCGAGGTCGCTGAGCCCGACCGATCACACGCATTCATCTGGTGGCCGGTCCGGTCCGTAATGAACTCATCGTTGAAACATTACTATTGATTTGTAATGCCGGCTACCCTTTGATTAGGGATGCCGCCCAGGGCTGATTAGTCGGCATATCGACCCTGTGCCGTGCGTGCCCGTGGGCTGCTCCGATGACCCCGCTCTGACCCTGAACGCCCGGACAGCAGGCGACAGCAGGAAACGGGCAACAGATTGTATATGTATCAAACAAACATGGTTAGATTGGGTAACGAAGACAGTAAAGAGTTGGTTGAAATGGGTTGTGTGCTGAACTAGTGCGACAACCAACCAACGAAAAGGAAGCAGATAACCGTATCGTGCGACAGACTCCAAAAAGAGCAGCTGTTCTCGGTGTTACTGGTATTTTGCTGTCCGTCCCAAACTTAAAGGGACCCTCCCACCTTAACATTAGATTTGAGTTGAGATAGCCAAAATGGGGTCCCTGGCTCACAATTACCGGTTTCGGCACTCACAACATCGAGAAATGCCTTAAATCGGAAATATTGAATTTCAAAATTGCAGCATTTTGATTCAGAGGGGCTAATGCATAGGAATACCCCTCTGAATGTGTGACGTCAGCGCAGATATCTAACGATTTTTAAATGTTTGACTAAAACGTTTTGTAGCACGCGGTGGTATATGCTGCTTTGCGCGCAACAAATGCCGCACTTTCAAATAAAGTGGCTAGAGGAACAGCGGAGATCCCAAAAAGTAAACAAAAGTAAAAGTCTAATATCTTGAAAACCGGTGAATATTTTTCGATGAAATTTGGTAGATATTTGTTTTTGCTCTTTCTGAACCGAGCGACATCACTTTCATGCCAATTCATAAACTTTTTTGAAGGTGGGAGGGTCCCTTTAACCAAAATATATCATCATGTCATCCAAAAAGCGGTAACCTGAGCTAAGGTCACCGTAAGCAATACGTTTTCATTTTTCGGCGGAATTGCTTTCGGCTCAGTTGCGGTAATAGGAGAGGTGATGTACGCCATACTCTGAAATTTAACCTCCATGTCCATAGGAAAGGCCTGTCGTCATTTATCTTTATCATATTTGTATCTAAAGCATAGCTCTGGTTATGCATTTTTAAAGTTTATGGTGAGTGAGTAGGCAAATCAATGAAATGCGTTTGTCTGGTTTTGTTGTTTCCTTACTTCTACTCTTACCACTCAAGCACATACAGTCACATGTCGCATAGTGGACAGTGTCATGCATACACGAAGACAGACAGTCAGACAGGCATACGGGCAGACAGGCAGACATGCAGGCAGACACACACTCGGCCGTTGTTAGATGACCACCAGGTTCGCTGTGTTCGCCTGAAAACAGAGGGGTGCGGATGTTCAGACTAGGAAGGGAGAGGGGCGCTGGAGAGGGGAGACGCTCGCCGTACGACTATAAGATGTCTAGTTCTACGATGAAAAGCGGGAAGGCCAGATGTTTAGGTACGACCAAATACGTCGGAGGAGAAGATACTTGCGCAAAACAATAGGAGAATCGTAAAATGCATAGTGACCATTCGTGAACGGTGAGCTATTTTTTCATTATAGTTCCATTTTATCATAAAGATTAGTTACAGCCAGGGCTGCGGAGTCGGAGTCGGAGTCGGAGTCGGAGTCGGTCGGAGTCGACAGTTGTGACCGGAGTCGGAGTCGGAGTCGGAGTCGATTTTAGAAACCCGAGCCGGAGTCGGAGTCGGAGTCACCGAAAATCTGTCGACTCCGCAGCCCTGCTAGGTCTGCGGAGTCGGAGTCGGGAGTTGGAGTCGGTCGGAGTCGACAATTCTGCCCGGAGTCGGAGTCGGAGTCGCCGAAAATCCATCGACTCCGCAGCCCTGGTTACAGCTACGAAGAATGACACGAACAGTTTTTGTCCATTAGTGTCAAATGTCTTGCTGAATTTATTTTTAGTAATTGCTTCAATATTCACCAAACGAAAAAGAGAGGTAATCTTTATCGCGCATCTTGCGGGATGCGTTCGATGACGGCTCTGTCGGAGACTCGGTAAATGTCGCTCAGTCGCGGGCAGCCGCTAACAAAAAGTGACCTCGTTCTCGTCCCGGTTCTGGTCTGGCGAGAAATTGGCACTAGTGGAGCATCCTATGGCGCCCGCATTCAGCACAGAGCTGTACCGTTACCGGTAACGAAGGCAAACACAGGTCTGGAAAAGGCTGCAGGATGTTTTGGCCTAGGAAATCTGGATGATGAATACGGATACAAAGTGGCGCAAATTAATTGGATAGCCTTAAAAGGACTTACGACAAAGTTTGAAATAAAAGTCGTCCTAAACGTTTCATTGAAATAAACGACGGCTTGTCTTCTATACGAAATGTAACTATACCTAATATTTGATATGCGACCCCAACAAGAAGAGTTTGATAAAACGTTACCACTGTTGTTGGTTTTCCAGGACGTACTCTTGTCTCATGTCCACTTTACCTAATAAAAACTCCATCCCATAGTCTCTCATCGCTGTACGCAGATGGCGCTGGTGCGCTCGTGGCTGACCTTGACCCGTGTTGTGTCGCCCCGGCAGCAAATCATGTTGCACAATCAGCTGGCGGCGGCGGCAGCGGCAGCCAATCAGGTGCCGGCGATGTCCGCGGCGTACGGCGGCACGATGAGCGGCTTCGGAGGAAACAGCGAGTCCATACAGGTGAGTCCATGCGCATCGAAAATCGAGATTAGTTGGCCCGCGGTGATTATACATTACATAGATAAAACGCAGCCGTTTTTCGAGCGGTAGAGATAATGTTGGAGATATTTGTTAGAGGCAAAATTAACTCTTAGAAGAATAAATAAATATACTTTCTCATAAGAGCCGGTTAGTTTCTCATCGGTCATCTCTCGTATAAAGCTCACTTCCTTGCTTCAGCATCACTGAGATACCGTGACTGTCAAGCCCTAGGGGTGGGTTGGAGACAAACAACTAACTATACCTACCATAACTTTGTAATATTCATTGCAGTTAGATTCGAGCAAAATCATTAAACCATTGAGTAACGCGATGCGACAACTGCTCGCTGTCACCATCTCAGCCGTCACACAGTCCAAAGAGGCTCTTGCGGTCCGAACGCTGATGATGTGAAAGTACTACTTCTCATTGATCAGACAGGTGGATAATGGATATAGCAAAGGTACTCAGGGACTCGTATGACTCGTATGACAAAGTGACATTGATTGTATGCGTAGCGATCAGCATTCAGCCCTTCAGAAGCTGACGTAAAATAATGTATGCAATTAGACACCGCACTCAGCGATCACGGTGATGACGTCACCGCCGTTGTCAGGCTCTGCTGGCGGCGCTGAAGCAGCAGCTGCAGCACCAGCAGCAGACGCTCCAGCAGCAGCTGCAGCAGTTCATGATGATGAGTCCTGCTGGAGGTCACGGCCACCTCTCGGCGCAGCAGCTGTTTCTGCAGAACCAGGTGAGCGGAAGTCCTTCCCAGGCATATCGTGTGTTGATGTGACACAAATACAGTTTTGTAGAAATGTGTGACGTGACACATATGTACATGTATTCTTTATTCTTTTTAGTAAATTGTTCCGTTTTGTTCAATGAAATTAATGCCTTGAATGGTAGGTATGGCTTGAATATCAGGTTTCCGGATTCTTCAAATGAGTTTTTATTGAACGAGGTCTTTTAGCGGACCTTCGAACCTACGTACATTGCAAAACATCTTACAAGGAGGCAATGACAGCAAACAAAACTATTTAATATCACGGCTGTCATGGCACCTTTATATTATGCAACCTGCTTTTATTCCATTGGTGCGTTGCCAAGCGTTTGCAGTTGAGTGCACATTAACTGGCAACTCCTCTATGGATTCAGCTTTTCACATGAAGTTATTAGAAGTTGAGTGACACGTCAGCTGGATGTCGAGAATCGGTTGTTATTCGGCCGAGTGAATGAAGGTGGCATGTCGATTGTACTTTTCTGATCTTTTCTCTACTGAGTTGAGAAGGCTCGATGCGATACGGATCGTTGATTATTTGACCACTGACCAGCCTTTTTTGTGCATTGATTCACGGCCCAGACGTTTCTATGTGACTAGTCAGGTATTATGCATTGAAAGCCTTGATTAGTTCCGTGATTTCCGAGAAGTTAGTTCCGTTACGATACATACCAATAAGTATATGCCTCTGCGCGTGCAAAGGTCCCTATATGCCTTTCAATAAAAGGCATGCCTCGTGTGTCAAACCATATTGACGACAGGTCATATCATCAAAATCTTGTTTGGTATAGGTAGTAGAAGAACAGATGATGAAATGTCCTCTAAGATGACATTACCACCGTGCTTACAAATTGATGGAAGATCGCCCAGTGAATCTAAGCAAGTGAAGTCTATCAAAGAGTATATTTAGAAGACTGCAAGAACTTCGAGTATGAGCTAGCTTTAAAGTTGGAATACCTGATTTACTTTCCATTTTACTGTATTATCTTTGACACTAAGTAGCCTCATCCCTTACAGTCTACATGTGACCTGACCTGAGTGACCCATCTCACCCTCTCAGTCCTCCCCCTCCAGCCAGCGGCGGCCACCGGTAGCCCATCGGACCGCGTCTACCTGTCGCAGCCTCCCTGCCGGTACACTCCCGAGCGCGACAGCCTAACGAAATTTAAGGCGGCGTAAATTCGGCCGGCGACGCCGCCTTTCAGCGTAGGCGGTCACCAATTCATCCGGCGGAGGCGGCGTCTCCAGCAAACAGAGGACGCGCACGCCCCCTCCCCTCCCGCTCACCCCACCCCCGGCGGACCGGTCGCGCCGCCGGTCGCCACATCAATACTCCCATATTGAAGACAGTTGCAGGCCAAAATGGCCTCCGCGGCGATAAATTCAAATGGACAGCGTCCAGCGATTTCGGCGCGGCGGCGCGCGGCTCTGTTTGAATACAGCCGGGGACGGTGGCCGCCGCTGGTCTCCGCTCGTGTCCACCCCCGCCTCATCCCCCAGTCGGTCCGGCCGGCCTCTCCCCGGGGGATAATGAGCCTGAGCGTGGGGGCGCCAGACTCAATAAGTTACGGCCGCCGGCGCCGCCGAAACGCATGCTAATTCGGCGGGCCGTCTTGAAATATTGACCTTTGGGGAGATGCCTCTGGCCGCGATGTATTCAGCCGGCGGCCGGCCGGCAGGGCGACAAAGGCCAACCCAGGCCCATAAAGGACGCCCTCATTCGGCGCTATTCAGAGGGCCATAATAAAACGAGTGGACGAACACATAATGCACTGGGGGGAGGCGGCCAGCGCATCAAATCAGCAGTTTGCATTTCGGTCGCGTAAAAAACAAACTTAGTTTGCCTCGGGCTGGATAAAATTCGTGTTTTCGCCGCGCCGTTGCGACGAGCAACAATGGTGACCAGTCTGCCGAGGGATGGACGGAGCGACAAGGAGCCCTCGCGCCCGTGCCATCAGGATTTATGTTCATGCAAATTGCTAAGCTTATCTGGGGCTATCAAAAGATTACATCGTGCGGACAATGGCCTCGGGGGATGGCGGCCGGCAAATGGGATGAAGGGACTTTTCACCCCAAAATGCGTGGAGCTGTGTACTGCTGTCGGCAGCGATGGGAAGGCCGAAAAGAGCACAAACTGCATATAGCTGAAAAACGATGCTAGTGAACTATTAGGATTACTAGATAAAACTGAAAATAAATTACAAAATATAAAATTTAACCGATAAAATGGTACCTACCGCCACGTAGACAATAGAAATGGCCATTGTGGTTCAAAATTACACCCATCAGCAGTATTGAACGGTGCATCAGGATAATCCCATCATCAGGCATGCTGCTTTTGGACATGGCCTGAAATTTCAGCGGCCCGTTTCCCAGTCGGGAGGTGGCCTCGGCGGTCCATTACCGGCGTCTCTGTAAATGTCTGGCCTGTTTGTTCAGCCGTTCGCTGATTTTCTCGTCTGTCTCAAACCATCAGCCAATTCTTGCAGCGTCCTGAATCGCCGGATTATCCCAACCACCGCGCAGCGCCGCGCTATTTTCACCACGGCTACTGCATTAGCAGGTCGACGTACTGCCATAACTGGAGGTCGACTCTGGTTTGGCAGAAATAAAGCGGCCGGTTACCAGCCACTACACTGTCCTGAAGGTGATCGACCTCTCCTCTGTCATCAGACTCAGCGCTTGACCTGCTTCCAGCTCTTTTATGACCTCCTAGATCTCCCGCTACCTGTGATATGTGCACCGTATCCGTGACCTGTGATCCTTCTCTGTGATGTGCGGCATGGCGCTATGTTGTGACCCGTTTCTGTGATCTGTGCTTCGTGCCTGTGACCTGCCCTCCGTGATCACCTCCCGTTTCTTTGCGCCGCAGGGTCTGTTGCAATCCGGGCTCCTACCAGCCGGTCTGCAGAGCTCTCCGACCGTCAGCCACGCCCAGGTGGCGCAGGTGCAGCAGCTGGCGCAGGCAGCTCAGCAGCTGCAGCAGCTGCAGAAGCAGCGGCAGCTGGCCGGGCCACCGTCTCCCAGCCCGCCGCCGAGCGGTCTTCTGGCGCGCCACCCACCGCCACCGCCACCACCCGTCTCGTGCGGCGCTCGGTTCGGGCCTCAGCCGCCGGCCAGCGTCGCGGGCCAGCACGGACCACCCCCGCCGCCACCGGCCGCGCCCATCCGCTACACAGAACCGCCGCCTGACGAGACCACTGACCTGGAGGAGCTGGAGCAGTTCGCCAAAACGTTCAAACAGCGTCGCATCAAGCTCGGTGAGTGGCGCGAACGATCAGAGGACGGGAGAGGTGGGGAAGGGTGCGTGATGCTGCCTTCTATGGGATTGGTTGGGGACTGGACTGGGTGTAAGAACGAGCCAGAAAGGAAGCCAGCAAGACAACCAAAGCAGCTCGGGCATAGCCTGTCAGAAATAACATGTCATATTATTACGGACCACTAAACTCCTATCGGACCGATCAGGTTAAATATGAACGTAACCAAATTAGTTGAGGCACATTGGCATGCTTTTGGCATTAGTTAAAAGTAATGTGGGAATTCTACTGTGCAATTAGCATCGCTGTGCTATAGCCGTAAGCGGATTGCACATTGACCTTATGTTATTGTATCTGTTCCAGGATTCACTCAGGGCGACGTCGGCCTGGCGATGGGCAAAATGTACGGCAACGATTTCTCCCAAACGACCATCTCCCGGTTCGAGGCACTCAACCTAAGCTTCAAGAACATGTGCAAGCTAAAGCCGCTGCTTCAGAAGTGGCTGGCAGATGCCGATAGCACTATGTCCAGGTAAGCTAAAACGAACTATGTATAGGTAAAAGCGAAACCATCAATACGCTCAGATAGCTACCAATGTCTCTTGTTATCAATGTTCAGTTCCAATGGTCAATGTTCCGAGGCGTGTTATTTATTCATTATACCTAATTCTCGGTAGTTGCTGGGTGTCTTGACGCTAAATGCTGCTGCCAACCACATCGCTTCAACCACGTCTTTCACTAGTTTTATCTCATGCACTAGTTCTGTCTGGCCGACTAATTATTCGTCAGTCCCAGCCAGCTCTCTCATTAATCAAGTTATAACCCTCCCCCTGCCATCTCGCCCGCAGTCCGTCGCACGTCACGCCGCCCCACAGCACGGCCGATTCTATGGGCCGCCGGCGCAAGAAGCGTACATCCATCGAGACGGGCGTGCGCGTGGCGCTGGAGCAGGCCTTCAACCAGAACCCCAAACCCACCTCAGAGGAGATCTCCATCCTGGGCCGCCACCTGCTCATGGAGAAGGAGGTGGTCCGAGTGTGGTTCTGTAACCGGTAAGCACACCGCGGGACCTTGGCACAGCACTGCCGGGATACGGAGGGCGCTGAGGGATATAGCTCGGTGGTTATGTTGGGATTTATCGAAAATTAAAGGTAATGAATTTGTTAGAAGAAAGTCTGGTCTCTGGTGGGTGCCATAAGGAAAGCTATTATCTTACGGGAAATGTGTTTTTATTGTTCGTTAGTGTTGCCTTGTAAACGTCAACCATTGTGTATTTAAAGTCATGGAAAAGTAGCCATGGATACATTCGAATGCATTGTTGCTCTTATTTTGGCTCATAGTTGATTGTTGTCATCGCGTGACCATTAATGAGCGCTACTTAAGTATGCATTTTATGCATAATTAATAGCACATGTTCCATGCCACCAAAGTGATACACTTAGCAAAATAATCCTTGGAATACGAACAATAGAATCATTTCCTAATGACATGCAGACTGTCGGCATAATCTTCCCCAGATCGCCTTAGGTCATGCTGCTAGCCACGAGGTTCGTGCCGTTTACGAGTAACGCCGCCTTTGTTACAGTAGACAGAAGCAGAAGCGGATCAGTACGCCGACGGCGTCGATGGGCTCGCCGCAGCCGTCGTTCCCGACCTACTCGTCAGCCAACTCGGGCGGCTCAGTGCCGTCGCCGCACTCGTTGCCGTCGCCCATCTCGCCGCCGATGTCGTCGCCGCTGCCGCAGTACACCGCTGCCAGTTCGCCGGGAAATCCGTACAAGGACTGACCCTCACTGGGCTGGGCCGAGCCGGGACCCAGCCGCACGCCGCCCAGACCGCTCCACGACGCGCCGCCGCCGCCGGCTCAGCCTGGCTCGGCGGCGCCGACACGGTCTAACATGGATCCGCCGCCAGCACCGGCCGCAGAGAGGGACTTCGAGGCGCCGCCATCGGACTACAACCTCACCTCCGCCGCACCGGCTACCAAACGCTCTCCGCCACCAAACCGCGGTACGGACGCACCTCCACACATCGGCTTTAACATGAATTCACCGCAGAGAAGCTCTGAGCACGGCTACGAGCCGACAGAGGCGGCCGACCTGCGAATGGACTCTCCGAGGGCGGGGTACGACCCGTCTCTCTGCTGCCCAGGCACGCAGTCGCCCAGCCCCGGCGCGTATGGCCCACCGGGACAACTGGGTCACATCCGAGCCCTGCTCTCGGGCGAGTACCGCTCTGATCCTCGAGGCAACAGCGGGGGCGGTCTCAACCTGGCCAACTTCAGCACGGGGCTGCTGCGCTCTCGACCGGAGCCGGGCCGCGATTACGACGGGCCGTACGGGGCTCCGCCGGAGCGCGGTCTGCTGGCGCACGGCTACCGTCGCGCCCGACTGGAGCCACCGAACCACGAGCAGCCGTCGGGCGGAGCCGTGTACGACTTCAGCGGCGCCCCGTCCCCCGAGCGACTGACCACGCCTCCGGGTCGCTGGCCCGCGTGAGCCGGCCCCGGGACACACCGACCCAGTCCGGCACGACCAGCCCTGCTGGCGCGCGGAGCCGGGTGTAGACGCCGTTTTCCATCAGATTCTGCCGAGCAGTGACGGGGGGCGCCTCGGCCGCCGCCCACTGACCAGTGCGAGTGATAGACACAGAGACGTAACGCTTTGAGCGTGGTCTATAAAGGGACACGGAGGGAGGGGCTGCCGCCTGTCTTCCAGACCCCCGGCCCGAGCCGGGTGCGGCCGGCAGTCACGCCACTGACTGACAGACAGGGTACACTCCCACACACAAACAAAGCATAAAATGTACGCATATCATACACAAGGACACAATTGGTCGTACATTAGCCACTCTAACACACAAAATGAGCACACAAACACTCACATTTGATGGTGAATATAGATACATGCATACCTACAAAGGGCACACCAGTTCCTATTTGGTATTAACTTATCACGCGAGGTCCAACGTGGGCGAATGGGCTCAACGCGAAGCGCGCTCACAGGAGCACCACATATAGATTGATTACGCAGTGCGCCCTGTAGATAGTAATACGATATATTCCGTGAATGTGCGCGCAAAGCCCGGCTTATAGGGAGCACTGTTCCTGGTTGGGATCGAGATCGTTGGATGTCCGAGTCGGTCATATTTCGGCGAGGCCTCGCCACGCGTGTGTGCGTGTGTAACTCCGTTCTGTGTGTTGTTCCCGCCTGCTTGCATGAGTGTGCGCCACCGACGGGCGCAGTTGCGCGAAGGTACAAGCCGTGTTCTGTCGCGTGCGTGAGGCGCTCGTGCGCGCGCGACCGTCGCCGAGTAGCCGGGGAGTGGCAACTGATCGTGTCTCCCCACTAGTCGCTTCCTCAGGTAACAAGCATGGCCCGGCCCGCAGCGGCCGCGGGGGAGGCGAGACCCGACACACATACACACACACGCGAGCGCGCCCCGAGTGTTTCGTTTTGTTCCACGGGTCCTCTAGGGTTACGTTGTACCTGTATCTCAGATCAGTTCCATGCTGGGGGGTGGCGATCGGCGGCTAGGTTTGTCTCACTGTCGGTAGAATGCGGTAGAGAGCGGTAGAATCCCACAGAGTCGACCCCCTCCACGACCGAATGTGTGAATGGTTCTGCGTGGGTGCATGTCCGTGTAAATACATGTGGATATTTTTGTAAAGTGTTCGGTAGCCGCGCCGTTGGTGTATTTACAGGGTGTTTAGTTATTTTCTTCGGCGATCACTCAGTGATCCAGTGTTTGAGCGGTGTGGACACCGTGTTAATTCTAAAATTAACTATATTTCGCTAGAAGACTGTTGTACCTAATGGCGGCGTTAATTATCGTGTACGCAAACATCGTCATTGTGCTGCTTTGTTAATTATTTTGTAGACACACGAAATACAAAACTGTACTGTCAGAGGTGTTTCACATGGTGCGGTAAACGGGAGCCTAAAAATAGTGACGGTTTAGGCACTGCGACGTGCTAAAGATAAATCCTAAAAACCTTTTTTAACAATTGTATGCATAAGATCCAAAAGCATTGCAAATAATCACGCTAAATTGACTTGAAACAATATAAAATGAAGCGACACAAACGTCATGTTTCACAATTACTTCTTTACACCCACGCCACTACTCCAGTAACGGCTTGTCATCATCGTTCAGTGGATTTTCAGTATCGCCACCTACCGGTGACCGTCTGCCCGAGGTCAAGGCCACTGCAGTGGGCGGGGCCTGGCAGCGGGGCTCGGCCAGGATTGGTCGAGCCGTGGTGGAGACCGGGGCCGGCAGTTTGACGGCCGGTGGGCGGCTGACGAGTGACCCGGACGGAGGGGGCGGCGGCGGCGGCAGCGGCGGGGGCGGCAGCGCCAGCAGGGGCTGTGACGGCAGCGGCGGAGGCGGCGGGGGTATCGGAGGGTAGGTGCAGATGAGAGTCGACGGGCCCAGCAGCGCCGACTCCTCGTCCACTGCTTCTGGGTCCGGCTGACCGGGCACGTGGACACGCACTGACCGCCGGATAGCCCGACAGAGAGCCAGACCGCGCCAGAACACGAAACCCACGCCGGTCACTGAAACGGAGGACACAGACGGGTCATGCTCGGCCAAAACAATAGTTCTAACTCGTAATGGGTCCTAAAGAAATGTAACTTAACCCTCGCATGTGTAGGGGGGGTCGGATGGACCCCCCATGGTTTTTCGCGAATAACTCGCGTAAAAAGCGGCCGATCGCAACGAAACTTTCAGTACCCTCGCATTGATCAATTTTACACCGACCCTTAAAATTTCATGACCCTGACCCTAATGACCTTTGACCTGTGACCTCTTTTCCGAGACCATGTTTGGCCGGAATCGCGACTCCGCGTATGTCGGCACGCATTAGCCGCGCGTTTGCAAGCTTTTCGTGGTTTCAAACGTTCAAACATGTGATTTGATGTTACTCCCATGCATTAGGGTGGGTGTCAAGGTCACCTGAAGGTCAGGTCAGGTCATTGACCTTTGGTGACCTCGGGTGACCTCGGTTCACTTTTTCGAGTTTTACATGTTTCTAGGCTAGTTTTTGGAGCTGAATTCGAATTTAGCAACCATTTGAAGATTTACGAAGCAGTTTTGGTGCCTTCGTAACATGTTACGAAGCTGTCAGAGGCGGTTGACACGTACTACGAATACCCGTCACAACCCCTACCGGTTGACCTGACCTGACCTGACCCGACCTGGTCTAAATGCTTCAAGACATCATCTGTGATCAAAACTAACACGATATTCGTGATCAGCACCCCGAAAAACCCCTTAGCAGCCACACTTTACGACTTTCTAATAGGTCCCAATTTTCCCGACTTTGGGTCATTGACCTGACCTGGAAGGTCAACCAATGACCTAGGACCTTAAAATTAGGTATCATCGGATTCCTCTCGTCACGGGCAACACGCTCGTTTTTCCGCGAAGCTCTAGCTCGATCAGGGGCCAAACGGCAAGGGGGGGTCCAACCGACCCCCCCCCCCTACACATTAGAAGCTGGCAAACGCTGCACACATGCGAGGGTTAAGATAAATAGCCAAGAATGATGAGACCAAGTTAAAAGCTCAGAACAATTAGCTCAGCAAGCTTCCGTTTCGCTTATGAAAAAGAAGTCAGTATGTTTCCTCAGCAGGCAAAGGAAAGGACACGTTTTCATTTTCTCGCCGGACCTGTACCCTTATAACAAAACACCGATGGAAAGACATAATATGAGCCCATGTCCTAACTAAAATAAAACCAGTATAACGCCTTTTGTGGCGACTAACGGAGCGAGCGAGAGGGTGGGCCTTGCACGTGCGAAATTGCGAGGGGGTACCTCCAACTGACTTGTGCACGGCACCTTACTAACCGGTCTCTAGCGATGTGCCAAATTTGAGCACAATCGGCCCAGCCGTTCTCGAGATCTGGAAGCGGCACCCTGGACGTGCGCACGTGCAAAATGGGTCCCAACTGACTTGTGCACGGCACCCTACTAACTGCTCCGTAACCGTGTACCAAATTTGAGCGCAATCGGTCCAGCCGTTCTCGAGATCTGGAAACGACCCCTGCACGTGCGCACGTGCAGCAGCACCCCAACTCTGGCACATGGATATGCATTGCCTAGTGGGTGCCTACCTACATGCCAACTCTCAGCGCAATCGGTCCAGTAGTTACCGAGATATTGCAACAATTACAAAAGTGACACCTCTTGGTTTTGCACGTGGCACGTGCATAAGGGGTCACCCACATGCATCGGGAATAGTGCAATACTTGGTAGAAGGAATGAAGCTACCCTATAAAAATTACCGCATGTAAATCGGTCAAGTGGTTGCTGAGATATAAGCCTCGCAAAAGCGTGACCACGGCCGGCCGGCCGGCCGGCCGGCCGGCCGCTCATACTCAGAAATTTCCGTTAATCTAAGGAAAGACTACGCTCGCTTCGCTCGCTCCGTAACCAGTATAACGCCTTTTGGGGCGACTAACGGAGCGAGCGAAAGGGTGGGCCTTGCACGTGCGAAATTGCGAGGGGGTACCTCCGACTGACTTGTGCACGGCACCCTACTAACCGGTCTCTAGCGATGTGCCAAATTTGAGCACAATCGGCCCAGCCGTTCTCGAGATCTGGAAGCGGCACCCTGCACGTGCGCACGTGCAAAATGGGTCCCAACTGAGTTTTGCACGGCACCCTACTAACCGGTCCCTAACCATGTACCAAATTTGAGCGCCATCGGTCCAGCCGTTCTCGGGATCTGGAATCGACCCCTGCACGTGCGCACGTGCAGCAGCACCCCAATTCTGGCACATGGATATGCATTGCCTAGTGGGTGCCTACCTTCATGCCAACTCTCAGCGCAATCGGCCCAGTAGTTACCGAGATATTGCAACAATTACAAAAGTGACACCTCTTCGTTTTGCACGTGGCACGTGCATAAGGGGTCACCCACATGCATCGGGAATAGTCCAATACTTGGTAGAAGGAATGAAGCTACCCTACAAAAATTACCGCATGTAAATCGGTCAAGTGGTTGCTGAGATATAAGCCTCGCAAAAGCGTGACCACGGCCGGCCGGCCGCGGCCGCTCATACTCAGAAATTTCCGTTAATCTAAGGAAAGACTACGCTCGCTTCGCTCGCTCCGTAATCACATCAGGATTGGAGTATTGGTACGTTCATCAGCTAGGAAACAAATATCAACCCAATTTTTGAACGTTTTCAAACCATAACAAAATAGCGAGACCTCACAAAGTCACGAGAGGAGCTCCCTGCATTCACTGACCTGAGAGGGCAAACGCCGCGTAGGCCACGAGCGCTAGGGCTGAGTCGGTCCGGGAGCGCAGACGCACGGCTAGGATAACGATGGCAGACGGGAGCAGCAGGACCATTGAGGTGACCGCGCAAAAGAAGAAAACGCGCTGCCGGAGGTCACGCCGCCGCTGGGGAGAGAGCTGCTGGAGGGAGGGAGAAGGGGAGCTCGGAGGAAGTTTGTTTGGATGAGCACGTGACATTGCTTTTGAGCATGGAGAAGGGATGTAAGACAACACAATAGACAATATCCATTCATGAAAAGCACGCCACTAATTCGGTTACGCACCAATTTTGGGGATACGGGGATGGCACAGACGCTTAGGTTTAGCGAGGTCATGGTCACCCTAAGCAGAATTACTGTAATGAGTACCTGCAGGTACTGATCGTCACCACTGATCAGTTGATCAAGCAGGTATCAGAAAAATAGCTGCTCACGCTAAGCCGGTGATCGCATACCTATAGCATGAGACAGGCTGTTCCATTGTAACGTTTACTGCTATGGTTGTTGCGAGCCTAGGGGTTCAGTGAATAAAACGGTCGTCTTACCTCCAATTCAGAGAACTCAGGCTGGTATGTTGTGAACAAGCTTCGATAGTTGACCAAATCATCGTCGAAATCTGACAGCCAATTACTGTCACCCATTTTCCCATCTAAATGTTATCACAGCACACCAAAATAACGACGAAATTAATCAAGGGATCGCAGTGAAGGACAACGTGTCAAGTAGAACGTCACAGAAAAGTTGAATTGAATATCCCGCATCTTAGGTCACGCTGTCAGTTGCCAGATGTACCGTGTGAATAAGCGAAACACTGGATGATTTCATCAACCCAAATCTAATTTTTGAGTTACAGCTATCTTGTGTGTTTCTGATAAATGGATCTGAATGGATCCTGTCTTGTTTTATTATCAATACTTTTAATTGCAAAATAGAAACTCAACCATTTTATCAGGAGCTTTTCTGATGAAAGAGCTGCTTCATCGGGAGATTTTACTGGCTTCTAAATTTGCGTTTACGCTACTTGAAAGTTGAATGCTGTGTCTAATGTTGTAGCTTATGCCTAAGGCAGTTTGAAAAGTCGACGTTGTCATAAAAATAATAGCGTTGCATATAACAAGATGGCTCCGAAACGAAAAAAAAAAACGAACAAAAACGCTGTAGCTTGAATCCTACAAATATAATTTAGTTTACTGATATAAACGCTTCAAAATTGTATCAGCAACATTATAATATTTAAATAATCCAAATCTAAGAGATGGGTGGCCTACGTCCTCACTCTTTTGAGTTGAGTTCCGAGGCCTAGATGACAGCTGTTCAAATTCCCAACACTAAACGCTCGATATGTAGGCCTTCAATCAATGCAAAAATTTCGACATTTTTCTCACCCAAATAAAGTTGAGATAGATCAGGGTATTTCTTGCAGGGAGTTGCACGGCGATCAGTTGTGCGGCTCCATCCCGAATACCATACCTACTGCGCGGGACTCGGCAGTGAAGCTAGTGCGCTGCGGCACAGCCTACCTTCAGGCGGGGTACACCAGTGACACCTAGCGGCAAAGTTATAAGTAGCACCCGCACGGAGCTTGTGCGCTGCGGCACAGCCTACCTTCAGGCGGTGTACACTAGTGACACCTAGCGGCGAAGTTATACGTAGCCTCTGTATACGTGCGTGCGGAGCCACGGGGTTGCTCCTGTTTTGTGTTTCTCAGACTATGAGTTTATTGGAGCGAGCGGAGCGAGCGTTCTAAAGAGACCGTGTGGCAGTAATAAGAAAAGAAATGGATATCAAAATTGTTGTATTTGCCAGTGAGCACCGACTATGTCTCGTCACATTGAAAATAGCGGTAAATCACTATGGTAAACAGGACACGTTGTACCCAAAGGCCAGTACCCACACTGATTGATGCGCCGTGACATAGGACCAGCCCGACCGGTATCGGGCCTAAATACCACCCTCACAACCACCCCAGCAGTCCCCGCATAAGCTATAACAAACGTCCATCATCACATTTCCGGAAAGCCTCAACAAGTGGCCGCCCATTGACCCAGTCAGAACGACCGGCGCATCACGACAGCCAATAGGCGACAAGATAACACCTTCACGTGCTCCTGTTGGAGCGCGGCGTCTACTTCTTCTTGGCCCTTGCCGCCTGCGGCAAGACAACCTTGACCCGGCCGGGGAAGTTACGGGTGACATCTTCCGGTCGCACCGATTTGATCAGGTCCCGCTCGCGCGGCGTGGCGGCTTTGTCCGTGAGGAACGACTGGACGGCCGTCTTGGCCGCCTTACCCTTCTTCCCTGCGCTGGGAGTCAGCTTGACTTTGAACCTGCCGGCGGATGATGAGGTTAATTAGAAGGCTAGGGTTTCTACGTTATGTGGCAGTCGTGAAGTTAAGGGTTTGAGGTCCTCAAGGGCGTGGACAAACACACACTGGGACGGGTAAGATGGGACAGATGTAAACAAAAACACTACAAAGATCAAATGAATGAGCTTTGAGAAAATAAAATAACACAAAACGGTAACTAAACATCAAAACTAACGAATAGCCTGCTACTGAGTGCCTTGTGACAATACGATGCAAAAGCACCACAAATAAATATCACCCTTTTATGTCGGGGCCTTGAACCCGCTCTAAAACTCGCTCGGTTCAGAGGCGCTACCTTGACAACAGCGATCCACATAGCTGGAATCGGAGTCACCTTCAGACTTTTTATCCATAACACACCAGCTTCAAAGGCACACAGGTCATCATCCCGCACTGTCAGGGGATGCGTTAAATCCTTTAGCGATTTATGTCTGCACCATCACTATGTAGCGAGGTCTGTGAGCCGTACGACGGCTGAAAGAGGTGCGCGGTAATTGTGACAGACGCTGAGCACAGCCGAGCAGTTCTGACACAGATGGCCGAGCGGTAAAAAACGCAGAGGCCGAGGATGGTTGTTAGGTTCACCTGGCCAGTTCCGGCCCGGGAAGACAGGTGCACGGTCCGAACCCGTCTAATGGATGGGTGACCCGGTCATTTCCCAGTCGGCGCGAGGGGTGTGACGGGCAGAGGGCATAACGCGGAAACGTCACCCATCCGAGAGCGCTTATCAGTTAGCAGTGAGAGACAGAACAGGCTACTAACAGCCAATTTGGATGGGATCGGGTAATACGACTGCGATTGAACCCGGTAAAGTGCATTCATTAAAAAAAAAACATCACGGAAGCCCTTTAATGTTCAGCTTGTCAAATATCAAAGGAAAGAAGTTTTCAATTAGTTCATTACATTACATAATGGATAATTTTATGATACCTTGAAGGTTCAATTTAAACCAGCAGAGTATATATGTACTCAAACAGATGAAGCAGGTTTACTCTCCCTGGATACAGTAGCATTTAGTCAGAATCGGGTAGGTACTCGACATACCACTTCAATCAATGTTCAGTCGCCGTACCTCAGTCGAGGCTTTTTCACCGCAACCGCCACACATATTTCCAACTAGCACCCGCTCAGACTCAACATCGACTCGTTGCCATCGGCTGGGGAGGGGGTAAGAGAGCGGGATGGCTAGGGTAGGACAGGGCGGAGTTGGCTGGGGTGGCGGCAGGGCACTCTGTGAGGCGCTCAGAGTGGAATACCCTCCGCAGGTTGATTTCCCCGCTGTAAAAGCCATTCTGGAGGGGGATAACCGATTACCCAACTTACTTGTATCCAAGAACGGTGGACCACGGCGCACAGACTGGCACGGCGTACAGGAGTTCGTCCTCTTCCACAGGAAGGCCGGTCAGCTCCTCCAGAATCTGGCAGTCTTGTGGCACGGTCACCTGTGTACAGACAGCAATCGGTCAGAGTAGTGTACAGGGTCTGGCAGTCCGCAGCAGAGACAACGGCGTCGCAGAATTCTACCGAAAAATTTACAGGTGCGGGATTTTCTCGTCGATTACAGTTTACTACGCATATAAGCACCAATACACAGTTCATGCATTCGACTAAGACACAGTGGCAGACAAAACAAAATATTCACTTTATCAGTCATAAATAACGACCACTTGAAAACTTAGTCTCTGTCTCGGCGTCGGTACCTATATGACCACACTATTCACCGTGACCCATGAGAATCTCGCCTCTGCTTTGTTGTTTGGCTTCAACTGGAGCTCAAAAAAGTGTGATGAATATTGAATATTACGATGAAAACCCCTCACCTCGTCGTCATCACCCTCGTCATCGGCGGCCTCCTGTCGCGCCTTCTGCTGCTGCCGGCGCCGCTCCTGCTGTTCCTGCTGGCGCTGCTGACGCTCCTGCTGTTCCTGCTGACGCTTCTCCTCGGCCACTGCCGCCTGGGAACGGCCGGCCGACTGACCGGGGAGGGGGAGCACAGGTCAGCGCACTAATACACTGCAGAGTTCAGAGTCACGGAGCAGTACAAAGCATGGAGCTGTTGAATCCATAAATGCATTCATAACTAAGTCTGCAAAATGCAGAATCATGTTCAGAAACACCAACAAATTCCACCTAGAGTGCGCATCGAGTATGTCTATCATAATGAAAGTAAGAGAAGGGCGATTTGAGCTATTTGCTTACCTGGAGGATCGCCATTCGAGCCTCCCTTTCCTCGTCATCCTGGTCCTTGTACTTCTCCTTGGCGCGCTTCATCTTGGAGCGTTTGCCGCGCGGCTGCGGCGGCGGCGCGCAGTTCTGCTTCTTGTCTTTGCCGGCAGGTGGCGGGCCGGTCGGCTTCTTGCCGCCGCGCCGTGCGGCGGCCGGTTTGGGCCCGGGGAGTTTCGGGAACGGGTTGTCGGCAGGGCGGGAGTCGGTGGGGGAGGTTACCTCTACCGTGAATCTGCCGAGGGAAAGCATTGTCAATGCGGCCCAGTGGAGACAAAAAGTCCGGGCGCAACCGTTGTAAGCCCGCAAAATGTTACCAATCATGTCATGCGAAAATATGCCCAAAATTTGCATATGTGAAACTAGATAATTCATCAGACCATGTGTATGCTATTCAGCATTGTTTATAACTTACTTGCTGCCTTTGAGATGCTTCACTTCCACGTTCGTGTCCGGGAACTCGTTTTCTTCCTCACTCTCTCCCTTGTCATCTTCCTCCTCCGAATCCTTCTTCTCTTCTTCCTCCTTTGAGCCCGTCTTCTCCTCTTTTTCCTCCTCTTCTGAATCGTCCTTCTTCTCTGCCTTTTCATCCTCAGAATCCTTCTCCCCAGAGTCCTCCTTTTCATCCTCTCCGTTCTGGGAGGACGCCACTCCGTCCTCCCGCACTCCGTCCTCGTCCCCGGCTGCAGAGGACAGCTCCTCCGCGGCTGGCACCGGTCGGGGACCGTCCTCCGACTCTACCGTCCTCACCCGCCGCTCTCCGCGGTGCCTGGAGGCGGAGAGACAAGGAACGTCAGACGAAGTGACTGATGTATATTGTCTGATGTGATTATAGCCACACTAGAGAATAATTGAGGATAGAATACGCTTTGACATGCCTCTTGAAGCGGTGAAATCAAAAGTTGAATTATCTAATGCGGGAACAGAAGTAAGCAACTGAATGCGCAGCTAATCATCTGCACTGGTGTTTAGTGTTTACCAATATCAATCCAAAGAGATTCAAACCACCTCAGAAACAAAACGTATAACTAAATCAAAATCAGCAAGCGACCCATCCGCCACAGCCAATATTGCCGTAACACCCTTGACCAGACAGACTTCAGTACCCCCCCCCCCCCACGCACACACACTCTTTTCCAAGCACCCATTTAACGCCCCCTGAGCTTGGAATGCATTTCCTCATCCTCGCTCTCCCCGTCCCACCTACCTCTCTATCGAGCTCTCCTCCAGTTTGAACAGCACTGCAAATCCGAGGGTCAGCTGACAGGGCGGCAGGTAGTTCTTCTTGCCGCGCACCATGAAGCTACCGGTGGTTAAGTACTCGCCGGTAGGCGCCGTCTTGGACACCTGGTGGGCGTGCACCCACCAGGCGGAGGTGACGATCTTAGCGTCCCAGGCCGAGCTGGAACAGACGAGGAGGGGTGGCGGGGACTGGGTGAGAGACAGCTGTGGAATCGACATAGTCATAATAACATGGATGATTGACAAGAGTGTTGGTTGAAGGCAGCCGCAATTATAGCAGATTGCTGGATATTTAATTAGTCGTTCGGCAAAACTACCACATGCACTAAATTAGTTTAAAGCATGCTGCATGTATTATCATGTAGGAGTAATGCTTATCTATCATTCTTCGACCTTTGCATGAAACACTATCCCAGTGCCCAACACATTCACATTTCATTCCGCCACAGTCTGCTGGTCTTCCGTTAGTTCGTCATAAACAAAAATTGCTTGCTTTTGCACTCCCAACCCGCATGACTACCAGACTACCTTCTCTCTTCCACTCACCTGTTACAGACGGCGAACGATCCGGCCTCGTTCAGTGTTTTCGGCGGTACCTCTGCTCCGGTGGGGTTTTTCACCACCAGCGAGGCTGCACCGTGCAGGTCACCGTGTACGTAAATGTCACCCGGCTTCAGGTAGCGTCGTACCAGTATCTCGTTCTGTTGCTGGTCACGTCCTCCCAGCACTGACCGGCACAAAACATGAGCGGTGACTCGTTGGAAAGCAAATGATGGGCAAATGACGTTGGAAAGCAAGATTGATGGGCAGCGGAAAATATCTACAATTACATATGTGCATGGCAACATGTATTGTAGCTACATATAGGTGCGTGGAAACCAAGTGTCAAAACAATGTAGACGTTAGGCTAACGTTTAAAAAAAAACGAAAGCTTAGTTGCAGATGTCCCCAATATATGAGCACATACATTATAATCAAACCAATTGGATCTTTAATCGCCAAAGAAAAACCACCTGTGCCGGCAAAATCCATTAGAAAGGGCACGCTTGTCAGTGTTGGTGTCCATTACGATTCAACCATGCAGCTCAGTAACAGCACATCCGTTCTGAAAAATACCGCGTAATCCACAAAAGGCAAGACGTTCCCACACGGATTAAAAAAAAAAAAACACACAAAAACACACCCATCTGCTATAACTAGTTAATGTCAAATGGCATCGGTGCCGACCTATAACTGTCTGTCAGTAAACCTTAGGTTCCGTCCCTCCACCCCGGTATTTCTCAAAATAGCATCCCCTGTCTGTGTTACACATCTTACCAAGGTAGTTTTCCGACGATATGAACCAGAGAAACCTCTCGAACCAGTGCACGCGACGCGCCTTGTTGATGCTGGCGATGGTGGCAGCCTCCTTCAGGGTCTGCTTGGTCTTCTGCTCCGCCGACTTCATGGCCTTGAACGAAGACTCGATGGTCTTTTGCTGCTTCTTAGCCGCTGTCCGCTTCTGGCCAAAGTACCTGCGTCAGGCCGGGAGGGTCAAGAGGTATGGTTGGACACACTGTGAGATAAACATCGGAGATGTACCGTCAAACGGAGTCGATGCTTTTTTTTGTAGAAAATGACAGGAATGCCGGCACATGATGCAACAAAAATATGGCGGCAGCCAACAACTTTGATCCACGTTAGCACTCCCCAACCCTCCAAAATCTCAAACTGACAGCTGCAGCGTAGCCAATTTTGACCCGGCCTCGCAATCCGCGTCCCTAGCTCCACCCCGGAGTTGTCTTTGGGCACTGGACACTGACTCGAGACGCGTCCTTGACCCCTGGCGCCGTTTTCCCTCCTGACCTGGTAGCGTTGGCCAGCGCCGATAGGTCCAGGTCTATGTCGACCAGCATCGGTCGGATGTGGGATGACTGGTCGGCCTTCTCGGCCGGAGGAGCCGCGTCCTCCCGGCCGTCCTCACTGCCGTCCTCCTCGTCCTCGTCGGATTCCTCCTGGTACGGGTCACTGCGGAGGGTACGCAGGGGAAGGAGTAAGGTGGCGCCTCAGGGATTGAACGAGGACTTTGATGACACATAATAGCAGATAAGTCACAGTAGACAAATGTAACAAAATGCAGTCATAAATCGGTTGGTAATATAGCTAGCAAGTGTCACTGTAATTGGGCTACCAGTCCACATCATCCACTTACTGCAGCAGCATGGTGATGTGGTTCGTCTCCAGCTTCAGGGCCTTGATGGAGCGCGCCACGGGGTCCCCGCGCTTCTGCGCCTCCTGTACGATCCGCCCGATTTCGCGCCAGTCAATCTGGTTGGCCAGGGCGGAGCGCACCACCAGTGCCGCGCCATCCACTAGCTGTGCATTGCTGGTGATGAGCTCTGCGCGCCATCTGTCGTCGCGCTGTGCAAGCTCGAGTGCCTCAAGCCGCCGCTGGTGGTCGCGCCGCACGTTATCCAGCTTCTTTAGAGCCTCCCGCTCCTGAAAAGGCGTCACATACGATTAATTGTCACGAACCCCAAAAAACAAATAGGAGTGGTCCAAGCACAGATCCTTCGGGGACGCCATTAAATATGGATTACAACGTCATGAATGAGCTACGGAGACCGTAGTACTCCACTCTTCTACAGGCCCCCAAGGACACAATTATAAACTGGCGCAGGAAATATGTACGTCCTATCTGGAGGATGTCAATCGGATACCAACTTTTTGGTATACCGATACCAAACCGATACCAACTTGGTATTTAATATTTCGCAAATGCATTTGGTATTTTGTTGGTATTATGAATCCTCTCTAATGTAAAAGAGGCCGAGAATTTGGTAAAAAGTTGGTATTTCCCTCAGATTCTCAAGTAGGTTCGGTTTTGGTATTTTTCAATGGGTATTGTTGGTATTTGGTTTGGTATCGATATCACAATTTTCCTTAATTGACATCACTAGGACCCCTATCTAGCCCTTAAAATCGACAGAGCATTATAAAACCATAACCAAATCAGATAATTTCACAATGCGGTAAATGCCTATGGCTAGCAGAATTCAATGCCCTCCTTCCACACACCACACCGCGGCCCAGCCAGCTCTCTCCTCTACCAACACCATCTCTGCCATTTCTCTCACCTGCTGAACCGCCTTCATGTCGAGTTTCTGGCTCTCCAGCTTGCTGAAGAACTCGTCGACGGCAGCTGTGAAGCTGAGGAAGGTGTGGTGGGGCTGGTCGGCGTGCTGCGCGTACAGCAGCGGGTGAAACTCCTGGTAGGTGACCATCTCCGCGTCACCGCCGGCGCCGGAGCCGCCCTTCTGACCGCCCTTCTGACCGCCCTTCTGACCACCCGCCGAGCGCCGTTCCACGCGGTAAGTGACGATACCCTGTGCCCGAATAGAGAGATGATTAGCGGTGATACCCAGCCTGGCACCAGTATGCTGCGTAGCTTATGAGCTTCGGGACGTCGGAATGCTTGTGATGCTCGATAGAAGTAATAAAAACGACAAAAAGTGTGGACTATATATAGTCCGTATTTTCCGTTGACATCAAATCGATCAGCTATTCGCGAAATAGTCGAATCACAAGAAGCACCTAAAACAAATAAAGCCAAAAGAGTTTACCAATGCTGCATAACTCGTCGATGCTAATTCAGCTGATTGAAAGCCACTTATCATGAACTTCGTTATATGTTCCACAACACAAATATCTCCAAAAAACAATTCAATCCATTCAGTCGCCGTCACCCCGTCCCTACTGCTACCTAAGTGGCACACCCACCTTGAAGTCTTGCTGTTCGTTTCGGAGGACCGCCTCCCCGGCGCGGATGGCTCCCACCAGTCGGTGCATGTCCTCCTCAATATGAAACTCGTGTCCGAGCCGCGCCTGCGCCGGGAAACCCGCTTCCAGCAGGAGATGTTCGATCAGCGCGGCGCCAAAATCTGCCGACGGTATGGTGTGTCAGTTTCAGGCAGACTTCTCTTTTCCATTTCAATCCATATACGAAAGTGGTGGGAAAAAAATAAATGGTGTGGAGAAAGAAACCTGTCAGGAGTGAAAGGAGAATTACATGGAAGAGGATGGGGAACCGTGAAAAGGCGAGAAATTGGAATCGGGACATAGGACAGTGAGGATGGGTACACGATGAGGATTAAATAACAAACGTTTCAGCCAGGGTGGTCACTTCAACAGATAACACAACGTCGAACGCATAAATGCGTTCGAAACGCGTTCAAATTTGACAAAACAAAACCACAATCAAATCGAAACAAAACCAACTATCAAAACCAACTATCAAAACAAATCGAATTCGTAAGCATCGAATTTATCTTTAAACCGCAAGTAGCAAACACCTTCAACCATAAACCCAGTCCCGAATGCAGTCGCCTCCTTACCAAGATGAGGGTTGATGATCTTCTTGAGCACATCTCCCTCCTTGGCGGCGGACAGTACCTCTCGCAGCTGCTGCTCCGAGCGGGTCTCGTACAGGCGCGCCTTGTCCAGCGGGTAGTTCTCCTTTGAGGCGAACCTGGGGCCGTAGCGGAGGGAGAATTGTTAAGTAAAAATGAACAGAACAGCGCTGTTAGCTTGTGCTAAAGTACGATTCAATGTTTCCTGGACAGGGGCCGTGTGTTTCCCGTTAGACATAAGTGTCAAACTTGCAGGAAACCTCTCTAATGCAAGTGACGTAAAATTTGACCAGCGCAGAAACATACAAATCAGAGGGCTGTTCATGGGCCCTGTGTGCGGTCGGACCGTACACAGACTCAAAGCTCCGCCCACTGCGTCCCTACGTCATCCTTCCGTCACCGCACACAGCGACCGCTGTGGTCGGTCGGGACCGGCCACAGGGGACCGTCCACCGCACGCAGCTGTGACGTCAGAACCGCCTACCCATCCCCTACCCCCATGCCTGCTGCACACACCGCACACACCGCACTCAGCAGTTTGCGGTACCCGTGAACACCCCTCAGCCAGCATGACATTTTAACATCAGAAAGGACTTTTGTAATATATAACAAAAAGAAACCGCACAACACACTCTCAAATACACCTGGTTAACACTCTCAAATCAGTTTCTCTTTCACTATTTTCCTCCCCTACTTCTCACCTGACGCTCTCGGCATCGGTGCGCGGCCGCAGGATGTTGAGGATCGTATACTGGTGGTCTGTCAGCACCAGGTTGCCCCTGTCGTACAGCTCGAGGATGACGTGGTGGGCCACCTCGCCCGAGCCGAACTGCAGGTCCACCACCCGGTCCACTCCCAGCTGGCGGATCGACTCCAGTCGCTTGTTGCGGATGTGCTTCCTCAGCTGTGTGACGGAGAACGGGGGCGGGTTAGGTGAGGACGGCGCAAAAAGGAAAGAATGTAACATTTTTAGATAGGTATATCTGCAACACTGTCATGCTGAATCTCTCCTTCCGAAATTTTCCTTCCAATGGCATGGCATGGCATTACATTGGTCAAGAAATATACCAGCATTCATCATGTATGCCAAAAACTATCATATGTATTCGTCGCCTTTAAGGACATTACCATAGGGTACATTTCGATGACACACTAGACACTACCACTCATATGCCAAAATACATTATTGAATGTACCACAGAATACCATCATTCCCTTGCCATACATACCACAGAATATACAGCATACCAACACACCCTCCAAAACCCTTCTTACATCCTGTTCCCGATCCCCAAACCAGTTACGATCCAATCGCCAGTCGCCAAACCCATTACGATACTTCACCTTCATCGAGAATCCGGACGGCGCCGGGTTCTTGGGCCACTCATACTCTGTGGCGTGAATGCGAGCTCCGGACTCGAGCAGCAGCACCGCCTTCTGCTCGGGCCGCTGCAGCTTGAACAGGTACGTCTTGTGGTCGGTGTCGTACACCTGTACCACGCGCATACCGGCCAGCCTGGAGAGCAGAGTGAAGGGTGACGTGGCGCAAGGACGGCAACAACTACGGACGCTTGAGCCCAACGAGGCTATGCGCCCTAATCCAACAAGTACAAGTACAAGTAAGAATGAAGCGTAACGGTTGACAGTTTATTATTACATGAATTACATGAATTTCATGAAAATAAAAAATGCAAAATGAAGATATGTCTATCTAAATAAAAAAATGTTCGAATGTTTTGAATGAACGGAACCAGAATTCAGGCTAGATAGAATTTTTTTCAAAGGTCCCTACTCCCAACTCACTCTGTCTATTCAACCATTTCAGGTTCAATCATGAGAATTTAGATGCCTAATTTAAACATGCTCGTCAAATCTAGACATTTGTTGTTACCAATCACTAACAATGTGTCATGGGTCGTACAGAAGAAATATAGCTGTAAGGCACCTGACATGACGAACACTCACCGCTCATTCAGCTCGGCTACCATTGCAATGATATCGACGGTGGTGAACTTGGACTTCATTGTGATGGCGAGTCTTCACTCTGGAACATGACATTCACGTGGTAGCTGTTATTTTGTATCATGCTGTAGATTATATAAAATAGATATTTGTTCAGGATCTAAATTAATGTATGAAAATAAAACTTGACCCTCGCCCGTATCCGCGGTTTGCCAGCCGCAAACATATAAGGAGGGGGAGGGGTCCGTTGGACCCCCTTTGTCGTTTGGCCCCTGATCGAGCTAGAGCTTCGCGGAAAAAACAAGCGTGTTGCCCGTGACGAAAGGAAGCCGATAATATCAAATTTTAAGGTCCTAGGACATTGGTTGACCTTCCAGGTCAGGTTAATGACCCACAAGTCGGGAAAATCGGGACCTGTAAGAAAGTCGTAAAGTGTCGCTGCGATAGGGTATTTGGGGTGCTGATCACGGATATCTCATATCATGTTAGTTTTGATCAGAGTTGATGTCTTTAAGCATTTAGACCAGGTCGGGTCAGGTCAGGTCAGGTCAACCGGTAGGACTAGGGGACGTGACGGCTATTCGTAATACGTGTCAACCGCCTTCTGACAGCTTCGTGACATGTTACAAAGGCACCAAAACTACTTCGTAAATGTTCAAATGGTTGCTAAATTCGAAATCAGCTAAAAAAAACTAGCCTAGAAACATGTAATTGTAAAACTCGAAAAAGTGAACCGAGGTCACCAAAGGTCAATGACCTGACCTGACCTTCAGGTGACCTTGACACCCACCCTAATGCATGGGAGCAACATCATAGCACATGTTTGAGCGCTGAAACTACGAAAAGACTGCAAACGCGCGGCTAATGCGACCCGACATACGCCGAATCGCGATTCCGGCCAGACATGGTCTCGAAAAGTAGATCACAGGTCAAATGTCATTTGAGTCAGGGCTCAGAATCATGACATTTTCAGGGTAGGTGTAAAATTGATCAACTCGAGGGTACCTAGTGAAAGTTTCGTCACGATCGGCCGCTTTTTACGCGAGTTATTCGCGAAAAACCGAGGAAGGGGTTCGTTCGACCCCCTTCCCTCCCTATACGGACAAGGGTTAATTTACTTTAAAATTTATCTCTATCCCATTGAAACCACCTTATCTTCCAGTTGTAAACCAACTCATTCATCATGACAAACCAGGACAAACATTTTCCGGTTTTTCCCTACACAAACAAGTGTCCTTTGAGCAGTGAAGCGGGAACTGTTTTCTGACTGGGGAGGGGGAGGGGGTGTACACCGGATATTCCCCAGTAGGGTTTCATAACATAGACCAGGGCCCTGTTCGCTCGCCGTTTTTATATCAGCGTGCTGTCGGTTTTCCCCATATAAGGAAGTTATTGCTGGCGCGGCTTAGCCTCTCATTGGTCTAACGAATAGACCACTTGAATTCGACCAATGAGGAGCCAAGAAGCAGCAGCATGGTCGCAGCCTGCTGATAAATAAACGGGGTGCAAACAGAGCTCAGCATATGGTAGCCCAAATCTAGTTTTCTCACTGGTTTTTGGCATTCAGTTTTCCAATTTTCTACCTACAAGATAAACAAAATATTAAGTTACAACTTAATCCATCTCAGCTGAGGCAAGTAACCACCTTTTTGGTAACCTGGAACAAAGGTTTAACTACCTACCTACCCGACTGGAAAAAATGCCTCCACTACGCTGAAGTTCTCGGCGGAGGTGATGCGCCGAAATTTCGGCGCAAGGGTTTATGCGCCGAAATTATTTTACCAAGCCATGCTTCATGCGCCGAAAATTTTCAAGGCTTACTGATGGCTGCAGGCTGTAGCCACGCACTGGGGGGGGGGGGGGCTGGCGTGTGTGTGTGGCTGTCTTCCAGTGACTACTGTCTACAGACGGTTGTTGGCACGGTCGACGGGATCGGGCAGACAATAGACATCAGCAGGCCATGCGGGACCGAGCACCAGCGTTCGCTATCACAAAATCTCCTGACTCACAAACTCACTGGCATGTTCCATAACGTAACCTTTATTTTGTTGCCCGGTTCTGATCAGCAGTATGTGCCCAGCCGGTGACTGACGCCTGACGGGGCCTTCAACAGGCGTGGTGCAAGCACGGCCGATGGGATCGGGCAGATTGAGATACCAGGCCACGCGGGACCGATTGCCAGCGTCCGCTCGCAAACCACACGCCGGAAATACAGGAATCACAACGGTCAATACGCAAACGATAGCATACGTTATCTGAACTAGGGGATCCGACAATCCATAACCTCACTCTCGATCGGTGAACTGTTCCCGCCGTGGGCCGCCGTGGGAGAGTCGCAATCAGGTTCACTGAACATGACTTAACCCTCGCCGGCCGAGGGGGGGGGGGGCGGGTGCCGCCCCCCCCCCCATAGGGTTTTTTCGCGATAGCTTCGAACACGCTGGCGATAGAGAGCTGAAACTTGGCATACCTGACCTTTGATCCAAGCCGCATCTTTTGACACCAACCGCATTTTTGGGTCAGGTCAGGTCACTGACCTATGACGTCATAAGTGAACCTCTGCACGGTCTTCAGATGTCGCAACTTCGCAACGCCCTCACTGCCAGAGGAGATGTCACAGGGAAATGAAACTTGCAGGATCTAGTATCCATTATGAGTCCCACAACTTGTATATCTCGGATTTTTCCTAAAGGTCATATGAGGTCAGGTCATTTTCGTGACCTCACCATTATAAGTCAATGGGGAAAAATGAAAACTGCTATTCTGACGCCGGGAACGATCTCCAACTATCTCAAGCACACAGAATCGTGATTTTATGCACTCCTTGCAAGGTTAGATGCGTCACTTTTGCAATGTTGACCTTGCGTGACGTCATTTATGACGTCATCAAGGTCATATTAGTTTTTCGTCAATAACTCTTGATCAAATTGAGCTAGCGAGTCGGGAAAGCCACCAATGGACTCAGGAAGACCTGCCGAATCGAATGATATGCGACATGACCCCTTTCGACCAACTTCGTGACCAGGGGGTGCTGACCTGACCTTGACCTGAGGTCAACACCCCAAGTTGACCTGACCCGGACAAAAAGTATATCATTCGACGCGCCTGCGCGAGACGAACACGATGCTGCCAAAATCGGCGCTCTGCGGCCGTTTTTTGCGAAGTTATTCACCAAAAACTGAACCGTACCTTGGGGCACTTGACCTGACCTCAGAGGTCACCGGTTGACCTAGGACCTTAAAATCGGGTACCAATCTCTGCGTCTCGTAACGGCGCACACGCTCGTTTTTTCCGCGACGCGCTAGCTCCACCAGGGGCGAAACGGCGAGGGGGGGTCGTACCCGCCCCCCCCCCCCCCTCGGCCGGCGCGTATGTAGAAAACCAATAGGTCCGGCGAGGGTTAAATACCCTGAGACGAACACGAGACAAGATAAGTGATATTTAAGATGTTTAACTCCCGAAGACATTTAACCCTCGCCGGCCGAGGGGGGTTGGTGCCACCCCCTGACGGGTTTTTCGCGACTGCTGCGGAGCCGTTTGCGATAGAGGGATAGAGAAAACCGTCGATTTACGCCGAAGTACGCCGAAAATTTCGGCGCAAGCCGTCGATTTACGCCGAAGTACGCCGAAAAATTTCGGCGCAAACGCCCAACTACGCTCGAGTTCTCGACGAAAGCGTGCATTTTTTCCAGTCGGGCCTACCTATACATACAATGCATTCAAGCAGAGTTTTTGTTTGTTTGTTTGCTTGCTTTTTTATGACAGCTTTTGATAAGGACATACTAGAGTGGTGAAAACACCTCAGCTGTGGTCAGCTCAACAATACGGATTAACTGATATGCAACATGAGCTTTTGTGGTCAGGTCATGACCTTGGCCTGAGATCAAATTTTCAAAATGACATTTCAAGGTCAAATTTCAGTTCATTTGATGAGTCTTGATAGTTGATGAGATGAACAGAATGCTGGCAATAGTTTTAACATGACTCTTGGGTGTCTTGGGCATTCTGATTATTACAGAAAAAAATAATTTGTTAAAAAGGCTTTGTTAGACTTTTTGCCATCTAGAGGCTTAACTGTTATCTGAGGAAACGCTCCAGAAAGAGCGTTAAAGGGCTCCCAAATACGCTTTTCAGTGGCGCTGTAGCTCCATTGGTTCCCGAGTTATGCACCTGTTTTTCAAATGTGTTGAAATAGGCAAATTTGACCTTTGATGACCTCTGGCAGCCTGACCCTTGACCTGACCATAAAACTTGCTTATTGATCAGTCCAAAGGATGTATTACTGGTTTAGAATTCCTGGTCAAAAAACATTTTCTGGACAAACATTTTAAACAAACATTTCCCTATTTGAGAATCAACATATCCAATGGTCAATGGACTTGGGTCAGGTGAGAAGACTGAGTGGTAATTGATGTCATAATGCAAATGCAATGCATACCTACAGTTGAAAATATTACAGAAATCGCTCACAGAAGCGCATAGATAATCACACACATTGACATCACATTATCGCGCAGAGAGAGGAGTGTGTATAGCTTGAGCTGGCGCAAGGCTATATAAACCAGAGGGCTGTTCACGGGCCCTGTGTGCGGTCGGACCGCACACAGCCTCCAAGCTCCGCCCACTGCGTCCCTACGTCAGCCTTCCGTCACCGCACACAGCGATCGCTGTGGCCGGTCGGGACTGGCCACAGCGGACCGTCCACCGCACGCAGCCGTGACGTCAGAACCGCCTACCCATCCCCTACCCCCACGCCTGCTGGACGCACCGCACACAGCGCACGCAGCAGTGTGCGGTGCCCGTGAACACCCCTCAGGTAGAACGCTCCCGACGAAAAAGTGGTGACAAGCGATAATTAGTAGCCGCGACCCTCTTTTGTTCAAAACTATATCCGCAAGCAGCATTTACAGGCTAGCGGAAATCGACCAATCGGCGTTCGGCAATACTCAACGCTGATTGGCCCGATGCTCGTGACGAAATTGCGGGGGACTGCAGCTATTCCCCTATGGCGTTTAATAGACTTACGGCTTTTGAAGGGGATTTGTACCAGTTTTTGTTGGGTTTGAGGCCATTTTTGAGCTTGGATATTCTTTCTGTGACTTTTGACTGTGTAATAACGACATTTAATCATAACATTTCTATATACTACCGGTGTCACACATCGACCAAAAAGACCGTAAGTACATGGGATAGACGGACCACTGCTGATGGGGCCACACATGCCGGCGTGTGGTCATCGGAGGCCCATGAGGGCTCGACATAGGCCCTTCATGGGTCGGTATAGGCCCGGTGGGTCCAGTGCAAGCCTATCAGGGGCCGGTGCTGACCCAACAGGGCCCAGTGACATATAATGTAAGGCCGTCTAGGGACGTTGAGGGCTCATGGGGGCCATATAGGACCAATAGGGACCACATAAGCCAATCAGGGGCCATTTAGGCCAATAAAGGCACTTCAAGGGACTTGAAAAGGTCATTCAAGAGCTGTGGTGGGCCCATGAGAGGACGGCACTGGTCCAGCAGGTGCAGTCAGGGGATGTTGTACGGGTTTCTCAGTGGCCCATTTGGGCATATCAGTGACCAATTTAGACCCAGCAGTGGGCTTTGTAGACCTATCAGGGGCTGGTGATGGTTCATCAGGGGCCAGCGTTAGTCCATCGGGGCACGGCATATGCCCATCAGAGGTAATTGCGAGCCCACGCTGAACAATGCTGGCCCTTCAACGGCCCCATGGATCTACATTGACCCATGGGCCATGATGTGTCATGTATGCCCCTATGACAGGCCTACTCAGACCCCTGATGGACGTTCCCGGCCTCTGATGACCCTATGCTGAATGCAATTTAGACCCAGCAGTGGGCTTTGTAGACCTATCAGGGGCTGGTGATGGTTCATCAGGGGCCAGCGTTAGTCCATCGGGGCACGGCATATGCCCATCAGAGGTAATTGCGAGCCCACGCTGAACAATGCTGGCCCTTCAACGGCCCCATGGATCTACATTGACCCATGGGCCATGATGTGTCATGTATGCCCCTATGACAGGCCTACTCAGACCCCTGATGGACGTTCCCGGCCTCTGATGACCCTATGCTGAATGCTGATGGGGCTCTAAGAGTCTCCAATAACCCTTCGTCACCCCATTATTACCATACGCTGGCATTAGGGACCCCACATCAGCCGCAGGGCAGTCCGTACCATGACAGCATGTCTTTTCGGCCGATATTTCATCGGTAATATTTATCAAAATCATGATTTTATGGTGCCATTATATAGGTAACAGTCATAAGAAATATATTTCAACTCGAAAACAGCTCGAAACAGCATATAATTTTAAAGAAACCCCTCCGAAATCCAAAAGCCTATTCGGGTCCATAGAGAATAACTGCGGTCCCCCGCAATTTCGTCACGAGCGTCGGACCAATCAGCGTCGAGTACCGCCGAGCGCTGATTGGTGAATTTTCCGCTAGCGTGTAAGTACTGCTCACGGAACAAGAGTTCGTCGACAATCCTCCACAAACGTCTGTCACCATTTTTCATAATGCTTAACAGCCGGAGCGTACAGTAGGTCTACAAAAAAAGTCCCCCGCTCCAGAGGCGGCCGGCCGGCCGAACCCCCGGATTCCAGCCCCGACTCTATTGCGCAGGCCGCGGCAGCGACACGGGTCAGGTCGCGGCGCCCGGCGAGTGGGTCAGTTGGCGGCGGCCGGCCGTGGAGTGAGGACGCCGTGTGAGGGGCGCAGAGATGCCGCAGTGCTGAGGAGGGAGAAGATAGTGACTCTGCACTATGCCGGAAATGATGCCTTTGTGATCTTAATTAAACACCCGCAGACGCAGTGCATATCCTCCCTCGCCCCATTCCTATTTTATCATAACCCTTCAATAATCCGTAATGACCATTCAACGCAAGCAAGCAAACAAAACAACCCGTTTAGCGGCGACATCATCTCGGATAAAAAAGCGACAGTAATGATTAAAATAGACATAGCGCGAGAGCAAATCGAGGGGTATATATGTATCACATACCCGCAGACGCAGTGCATATCCTCCCTCGCCCCATTCCTATTTTATCATAACCCTTCAATAATCCGTAATGACCATTCCGTATGACCATTCCGTAATCCGTAATGACCTCACACGGCGTCCTCACTTCATTCGTACTTTGTTTTCGGTCGCATCATTATCTGCAATAATTCGAAGCGAGGTTTAACCCTCGCCGGCCGAGAAGAAGGGGTGAATGCCGCCACCATGTATTTTTTTTTATTTTTGCGGTAGCTCAAAGCACACTGATGATAGAAGGCTGACATTTCATATGCCTTGCATTTGATTCACGCCGGATCATTTGACATCAACCACGTTTTCAGGTCAGGTCACTTAACCATGGCGTCTTAACCTTCGCCGGCCGAGGGGGGGGGGGGCAATAGGGTTTTTCGCGATAGCTCCGAACACGCTGGCGATAGAAAGCTGAAACATGGCATACCTGAACTTTGATTCAAGCCGGATCTTTTGACACCAACCGCATTTTTGGGTCAGGTCAGGTCACTGACCTATGGCGTCATAAGTGAGCCTTTGCACGGTCTTCAGATGTCGCAATTTCGCAACGCCCTCACTGCCAGAGGAGATGTCACAGGGAAATGAAACTTGCAGGATCTAGTATCCATTATGAGTCTCACAGCTTGTTTATCTCGGATTTTTCCTAAAGGTCATATGAGGTCAGGTCATTTTCGTGACCTCACCATTAGGTATAAGTCAATGGGGGAAAAATGAAAACTGCTATTCTGGCGCCGGGAACGATCTCCAACTACCTCAAGCACACAGAATCGTGATTTGATGCACTCCTTGCAAGGTCAGATGCGTCACTTTTGCAATGTTGACCTTGCGTGGCGTCATTTATGACGTCATCAAGGTCATATTAGTTTCTCGTCAATAACTCTTGAACAAATTAAGCTAGCGAGTCGGGAAAGGCACCAATGGACTCAGGAAGACCTGCCGAATCGAATGATATGCAACATGACCTCTTTCGACCAACTTCGTGACCTGGGGGTGCTGACCTGACCTTGACCTGAGGTCAACACCCCAATTTGACCTGACCCGGACAAAAAGTATATCATTCGACGCGCCTGAGCAAGGCGAACACGATGCTGCCAAAATCGCGGCTCTGCGGCCGTTTTTGCGAAGTTATTCACCAAAAACTGAACCGTACCTTGGGGCACTTGACCTGACCTCAGAGGTCACCGGTTGACCTAGGACCTTAAAATCGGGTACCAATCTCTGCGTCTCGTAACGGCGCACACGCTCGTTTTTTCCGCGACGCGCTAGCTCCACCTGGGGCGAAACGGCGAGGGGGGTTCGTACCCGCCCCCCCCCCCCCCCCTCGGTCGGCGCGTATGTAGAAAACCAATAGGCCCGGCGAGGGTTAAGTAAACCTCTGCACGGTTGTCGGTTATAAAATGATGCAAATCCGCAATGCACTTAGTGTCAAGCATAATGGAGAAATATGGAAACTGTTAATTTGGCGTCGGAAATGATCTAAAATTACACCTCAAACACTTCAAATCGTGACTTCATACATTCTTGGCAAGGTCTAATGCTTCACTTTTGCTTTGCTCACCTTGCGTGACGTCATTTATGACGTCACTAGGGTGATAGAAGTGCTTCGTCAATAACTCCCGATCAAAATGAGCTAGCCAGTCGGGACAGCCATCTTTGGACTTTGCAAGACTTGCCGAATCAAATGTTATGCAACATGTCCTCCTTTCAACAGCTTCGTGACCTGTGTTGTCCTAACATGACATTGACCTCAGGTAAACATTCTAAATTGCTTCACCTAAACAAAAAAGCATATACATCGACTCGTCTGAGAACAGAAAACACGATTGTATCAAAATGACGATAATGCGACCATTTTTGCGAATTATTACCAAAAACCGATCGACTGCCTTGGGGCCCTTGACCTGCCCTAAGAGGTCACTGATATTTTAAAAAGGGGTACCAGTCGCTGCGTCACGTAACGAAGCAAGCGCTCGTTTTTTTCCGCGAGGCTCTAGCAGCTAGCTCAATTATAGGAGCCAAACATGGGGTTGGGGGATCGCTCCCTTCTCACTCACTATTTGGCCGGGATAGTGTTTGCAATTGTTGTTAAAGGGACCCTCCCACCTTCAAAAAAGTTAATGAATTGGCATGAAAATGATGTCCCTTGGTTCAGAAAGAGCGAAAACGAATATCTACCAAATTTCACCGAAAAATATTCACTGGTTTTCAAGATATTAGGCTTTTACTTTTGATTACTTTTTGGGATCTCCCCTGTTACTAGCGACTTTATTTGGAAGCAATAATTTGCCAGCCTTAAAGTGCGGCAGACGTTGCGCGCAAAGCAGCGTATACCACCACGTGTTAACGATGGTTTTAGTCTAAGATTTAAAAATCGTTAGATCTCCGCTGACGTCACAAATTCTAAGGGGGCATTCCAATGCATTAGCCCCTTAGAATCCGAAAACTGCAAGTTTGAAATTCCATATCTTCGAATTAAAGCATTTTTCGATGTTGTGAGTGCCCAAACCGGTATCTGCAGGCCATGGCCACCAATTTGGCTATCTCAACTCAAAACTAATGTTAAGGTGGGAGTGTCCCTTTAAAATCTAGCATTTTCAGATTTCAAATAACCCATTTTTTTCCCGCCCAAGTCTTTCAATTCAAGGTCATAACACCAGGTCACGTCAAGTAACCTTACCTCAAGG